TTCTCGCGCTCCAAGACACCAGATTAGAGCCGAAAAATAATACGAAGCCACTGGTAGAGCGCCTGTCATCGGTCGATCCAGCCCAGTCAGCATCTGAAAACACACTAAGCAAAGTGGATGTAGACTTGCTGATTTTCAGTCCTATGCCTGATGTGTGTCTCAGGTATCGCAGGATGCGTTTTGCTGCCGTCCAGTGTGCTTCTGCGGGCGAGTGGAGATATTGGCATACTTTGTTCACGGCGTAACTAATGTCCGGACGTGTCAAAGTCAGATATTGTAGTGCCCCTACAATACTCCGATATCTCGTGGCTGCTTCCGGTGACAGAAGTTGTCCTCCTTCACGAGACAAAGTTTCAGAGGTGGACATTGATGAAGTAACTGGCTTGCAATATGTCATACCTGCTTTTCTCAAAAGATCAGCTGTATATTTGGCCTGTTTCAGAAGTATAGACTCCCCCTGGCGCTGCACCTCAATTCCCAGAAAATAGTGGAGGTCGCCTAGGTCCTTCAGGGCGAAAGCTTCATGCAGACTATGGACAAGTGATGTGAGCGCTTTCGGCGACGAACCGGTAATGATGATATCATCGACGTAGATCAGCATGTACATACATACGCCTCCTTGATGATAGATAAACAGGGACGTGTCAGCAAGAGAGGGATGGAAACCAAGCTCCTGAAGCTTTGCACTCAGCCGAGAGAACCAGGCCCGGGGGGATTGTTTAAGACCATATAGTGATTTGTCCAATTTGCACACGTGCTGCGGAAGCTGTGGATCAACATATCCTGGTGGTTGCTTCATGTATACATCTTCTTCGAGAATGCCGTGGAGGAACGCATTCTGCACGTCCAATTGGCGAAGCACCCAACCACGTGAAACTGCAAGAGAAATAACCAGGCGAATAGTGGTGTGCTTAATTACTGGACTGAATGTCTCTGTATAGTCGATGCCATGGCGTTGCTTGAACCCTTTGGCGACGAGACGAGCCTTATGACGATCAATGGAGCCATCGGCACGATACTTGAGTTTGAAAACCCATTTGCAGTCGATGAGGTTGCAGCGAGGAGGCCGAGGAACGAGGTGCCAGGTCTGGTTCTTGAGCAACGCCTGGTATTCCACGTCCATGGCGGACCGCCAATGAGGGTCCGCAAGAGCATCAAGATGATTGGCGGGTTCAACCATGGCCAGCGAAACTTGCCGCCGTCGTCGTTGTGGACCATATGGTATGGTGCCGTCGGTGCGCACCTTCTCACGGCGAGTGCCGTCGCAAAGGCGAGTGGCATACCGACGAGACGCATCGGCTGGAGCGGGTGCGCGCACTTCAATCTGCGAAACCGGCTGCTGAAGGAGCTCGAAGGAGTCGGAGTCGGACCCCGGTGGTGGAGAGGCAGCCGGCTCAGCAGAGGCCAGCCGAGCGGGCGAGACTGGTCCAGGCGTAGTCGCCCGAACGGGGGAAGCCAAAACCGAGTCAGTTGGGCCGGATGACGCCCTGGCCGGTTCCTGCATGACGAGATCACATCGGCTGCATGGCACTGTTGATGTAGGCGCCTGCACAGGAGAAAGAGAAACCAAACAAGGATCCTCATGCGTTACATTAGATGAAATAGGTACAGTATCACCCATAGGAGAAGGTTCTTCTTCCACCGCAGCGGTTGATATGACAGGATCAAAAACTTTAGGTGGAGCAAGTAGACGAAGCTCGTCATATGACGGGGGTAGTGAGTCTGATTTGGATGGATCAGCATAGGGAAAAGACTGCTCATCGAATACAACATCCCGCGAGATATACACCCTGCCAGACGAAACATGAAGGCATTTGTAACCCTTGTGTGTGCTACTGTACCCGAGAAAGACGCAACGCTTGGACCTAAACTGGAGTTTATGATTGTTGTAGGGGCGAAGGCACGGCCAACAGGCACAGCCAAAAGTATGAAGGAAAGTATAGTCTGGAGCGGTGCCAAATAAGCGTTGCAGGGGGGTATTCATATTAATAGTACGGGTAGGAAGACGATTGATCAAAAAACATGCGGTATGAAACGCCTCATCCCAAAATCGTAATGGCATGGAAGCTTGGGCGAGCAAGGTGAGGCCAGTTTCGACGACATGGCGGTGTTTTCTTTCCGCTGACCCGTTTTGTTGGTGTGTGTGTGGGCAGGATAAGTGGTGTTCAATGCCCATGTTTTGGAAGAAAGTATTAAGCTTACGGTACTCCCCTCCCCAGTCGGTCTGAATCTGCAAGATTTTCCGATTAAGGAGACGTTCGACATGAGATTGAAAGCGATGAAAGATATTGAAAACATCGGATTTATGCTTAAGACAGAACAACCAAGTGAATTTGCTAAAATCATCTATGAAGCTCACATAGTAGCTAAAACCTCCTGACGAGGTGCACGCAGGCCCCCAAACGTCAGAGAAAATAAGCTCAAGAGGAAATGAAGTGACCCTAGAAGAACTGGCATAAGGAAGTTGGTGACTCTTCCCTTGCTGACATGCATCACATACATGTGCTTTATTTGACTCACGATTGAACTGAAGATTAAAATGACCTAAGACATGATCTACTATCCGCGAGGAGGGGTGACCGAGTCGACAGTGCCACCGATCATGACTGGGCTTGGTGACGGCAGAGAACGCCGTTTTATTCCTACTTGGTTGCATGGGACGAACTGGATAGAGACCACCTTCGCTAGGTCCGTGAAGAAGAACCCTCTTCGAAGCTCGATCCTTGACAAGAAAATAAAGAGGATGAATTTCAACGCAAACATTGTTATCAGAGGTGAGTCGATCAGTAGATAAAAGATTTTTTGTGGTATGTGGAACATGAAGAACATTGTTAAGGACAAGAGGTGCATGCGGTGTAGGAAGAAGGGCTTTTCCAACATGAGTAATAGCCATACCAGTTCCATTTGCTGTATGCACTTGGTCCTTGCCGGTGTACTGCTCACGCATGTGCAGCTTGTCTAAGTCGCCGGTGATGTGGTCGGTGGCGCCGGAGTCCATGTACCACGCTGGGTCAAGTGCCGGAGAGCCGGTAGAGATGTTGTTGGCGAAACGTGCATCCTCCTGCTGGGAGTTGTGGTTGTAGCGATCATAACAGGTCCTTGCAGAGTGGCCGAGCTTGTTGCAGATTTGGCATGGCACCCGCGGACGATCGGAGTTGGAGTTCCTCCTGTTGTAGCCGCCTTGGTGACCGCCGGCTGGTTGGCCATTGGAGCCGTTGCCTGCAGCAGAGTTACCGCCGCCGCCGCTGTTGCCGCCGTTGCGACGGTTGCCTCCCTGCTGGTTCCGGCCATCATTGTTGCGATTGCGGCCGCCGCTGCCGCCAGAGGAGCCACCTCCACCGTTGCCGCCGCCTCGAGCGCCGTTGCCTCGTCCCGCAAGATTGGCTGACAACTGATAGCCGGTGTTGGCATTGTCTTGACGCGCCTCGTAATCCAGCATGTGCGAGTACACTTCATCGAGAGAGATGCCACCGTTGGCCAGCAGCAGATTGATCGATGTGACGAGGGCGTCGTACGAGTTATCAAGGCCTGTGAACATGTAGTCGATCACATCAGTCTCGGAGACGAGGCTGCCGGCCGCAGCAAGCTGGTCAGCGAGACCCTTGACATGGCCAAAATAATCAGCCATGTTCATGTCCTTTTTCTGGGCGTGCGTAAGCTGCCTCTTAAGTTGCATGATCCTGGAGCGAGACTGCGAGGCGTACATGCGCTCGAGTGCCGCCCATATCTGTGCCGATGTCGTGAAGTTCAGCGTGCGCGCGATGATGTCGGGAGAGAGCGTGGAGAGGATCCCGGCAAGGAGCAGCTGGTCCTGGGCGTGCCAGACCGTATGGGCTGGGTTGATCACCATCTCCGCCCCTTCAGCGGTGGAGGCGGGAATGAGGCGCGCCGGGGGGGTGCTCTCGCCGTTGACGAAGCCGAGAAGCTGATGCCCCCGCAGGATGGGAACAATCTGGGCCTTCCAGAGGAGGTGATTTTCCCTTGAGAGTCTCACCGTCACCAGCTGGGCGAGGTTGGGCACGCCGACCTGCCCGGTCATCATCGACCCAACTGAGACGGAGGAATTGGTGAGAGCACCGGCAGTGGCGGAAAGCTGGGAGCTAATGGTTGTCGATGCGGTGGACGCGGAGGTGTTGGGAGAGGTGGACATCGCGGCGAGGAGAGTCGCGGCGAGGGATGGAGTTTCTGGACGTGCGTCGAAGCTAGGCTCTTGTTACCATGTAAAAACACACGATAGATTGGATCGCACATCCAAACAGATGGCGCTGATTGCTATTTATATGCAGGTTACATCACCGATCGTTTACAACAGGAAGATACGATCGGTTTTAGAGATATGTGCGTATGGTACAAGTTAGCTAACAACCTGCTAGATACTAACAAACTTACAGCTATCAAGCTTATCCGCTAACAGGTTCAAATCCTCTTGTTCAGTTAAACTTCTCTCAAAAAGGATTTGAGGAGATTGAGGGGGAGTATAGCTTTTATCCCGCTTACTATTCAACTTGGAAACAGTTACTGAAAACAAGACAAATCATCTCCACCGGCACATCTCAGACAACTTCCACTCCACAAAGTACACACACCACACAACTCTTTTCACGACGCATCCATAAGCTCCATGACCTTCTTCACGCTTGGCCGATCCATCATCCCATCAATCCAAGCCTTCACACGCGGATACGCATCGAGAACCGACGCGCAGGGGCTGGCCAGCAGGTAGTGAGCCATGGGGCAATGGCTGAGGTCCGCCAGGCTGATGAAATCTCCGGCCAGGTACCGTGACCTGGACAGACGCTCCTCGTAGACTCTGAGGGCCACCTTAAGCTTCTCCAGGTTCTCCTCAACGATTTTGTGGTCAGTCGTCCCGCCCATGAACATGGGCACGACGAAGCACTGGAAGGTGATCGCCGACATGGCCTTGTCGAAGTTGTGGGACTCGGCTTCGAGGCACGCGTCCACGGCCGCCGACTCGGCGAGGCTGCCCTCCCTTAGAAGACCGGATGCGCCTTTGCGGAGCACGTACCTCGAAATCGCGCGCGACTCTGGAATAATGTTGTACAGAGCAATTTGTTCAGTTTCAGTCTATAGCTACACGAAGATGTTGTTCTTTCGGGGGTTTTCTTGTGCTTGTGTGTCTATACGAGATATAAATAAATCTGAATGAATATCTGTTCTCTCACCGAAAAGGATGAGATCGCCGTCCTGGAAAGCCGGGACCTGGCCAAAGGGCTGCAAGGCAAATACAGAGCTGATGAACAACCAGACATCTTAAGCATGGTTAGCTAGCTAGACTACTTTATGAATCTGAACCTGTACTGTACGAGCTGAGCAATCGGACATCTTAAGCATGGCTAAGCTAGCTAGACTTTCTGAATCTGAATCTGTACTGTACGCCTAGCAACCATTACCCAAAATCTTCGCAAGGCAAGGTGTTATTACTTGCTACGTTGTTTGTTAATCTGAGGGTGCTCGTTGTCGAAAGAGAAATCTCAATCGGCTGCTAGAATAACTGAAGAAGAAGAAGAGACGAGCGGGACGTACGGTGCGGGCGAGATGCGCGGGGCCCTTGTGGTCGCCGGCGGGGAGGTGGACGTGCACCAGCTCGTACTCGGCGCCGACCTCCTCCAGGCACACCAGCACCCGCGCCACGCAGGTGGATCTCGCCAGCCCGAACACCTTCACCTTCTTCTCCGTCCCCATGGATCTCCCCCTCCCCTCCCGTGATTGCACAAGTCAAAGGTGGCGGCTGGACAGACAGCTGCATTTCTATACAGGATCTGAAAAGTCCAACATATGGGTGGTGCGTTGAGCAGCAGACCGGGTCGTTTTTCTATAGTTTTTTTAACTTGGTGAAATAAAAAAATGTTTTTTGGTTTAAAAAATCATGAATTAGAAAATCAGTTCACGAACTAGAAAAAAAAATTAAGAATGGAAAAAAATCATGAATTTGAAAAACTTCATGAATTCAAAAAAGTTCGCGCGTATGAGAAAAGTTCACGTATATGAATCTTTTTCATGAATTTCAAAAAGTTCCCAAATTCAAAAAAGTTCAAGAACTTGAATAAAAAGTTCACGCATTTGACGAACATTCATGGATTTTTAAAAAGTCCCCACATTTCAAAAAAGTTCACAATTCAAAAAAGGTTCATGAACTTGAATAAAAGTTCATGCATCTGAAAAACATCCATGGATTTGAGAAAACTTCACAGATTAAAAACAATTCTGTGCATTTGAAAAACATTCACAATTCAAGAAAACATCAAGAACTTAGATAAAAAGTTTGTGCATTGGAAAAATGTTGATGGATATGAAAAAGAACACATATTTGAAAAAAAAAACAAGTGCACTTGAAATAAGTTCCTGAACTTATGTAGAATGTTCAGGAATTTTATAATACATTCACGAATTCAAAACAAGTTCGCGAATTTGGGAAAAAGTGTTCCTGTTTCTGGTCCAACTAAACTAGTCTTTGTTTCTAATTTTCTTTCGTTCCTGTTTCTAGTTTTCTGTTTGTACTACACGGGACAGAAAAATAAAAGCAAACACGAGTTTGCACACTCAAAAACACTTTTGTTCATCGATTATAAAAAATTCCGCATATTCAAAAAATGTTCAAGCCATTGAACATTATTTTCGGATACAACAAATTCGCAGAGATTGAAAAACTGTTCAAAGCATGAAAAAATTGTTCTTCCATTCAAAAACTTGTTTGTTATTTTAAAATTTGTTCAGCAAATAAAAAATTTCATTGATTTTTTATATATTAAAAAGTTTCTTGAAATTCAGAATTGCTTCATACTTTCAAAGAAATAAAATAATATTCTTAGAATTTGAAATTTGTTCATAGATTCAAAGAATTGTTCGCACTTTCAAAATTTATTCGGTATAAGGCCCTGTTTGGTTCAGCTGTGGATTTCTAAAAGCAGCTGTGAAAAATTTGTTGTGGGAAAACAGCTGTGTAAAGTCTGATGTGAAAAAGATGTAGGTCATTTGGCAAACCAGCTGATACAGCTTTTTCAAATTTTGGCCCGCAGCGGAATCAGATTTTGGAAAGCACGTCCTGGGCTGCTTCCGCTTTTGGTTCAGATTTTGGCAGCGGATTTCTGGAGTCGAATTCTGCTGGGTTGGAAAAAGTCCATTTTAAACCCTGAATTTGTAGAGGTTCGGCGAAACAAGCCCTCAAATCGAAATCCCGGTCGATTGCACCTTGAACTATGCAATCCCGGTCTAAACTGAACCCTGGAGTTGTTTGGCAAACCAGGATCAACGACGTGTCACAGGATGGCCGGGATTGGTGCAATTTCGCCGCACTGTTCCCCTTGGGCCGGCCCGTTTTAGTTTTCTTTTTCCTTCTTTTAAAACGTGCAGTTTTTTATTCTTTAAAACTGCAAAAAAAAAGAGAACATAGGGTGACTCGAACCCGTGACCTGCTGCCGTTAGTCGACGGCAGTAACCCCAAGGACAGCGCATCATTGATCACTTCCACCCTGTTTCCTCTTTTTCTTCTTTCTTTTTCGGTTCTTTTTCTAATCTTTTTATTTATATTTTCGTTTTTAATTTTTTGTTAAATTCGTGGACATCTTAGTAGGGAATACCAAACGAAAAAAACCTCGTAAACCAATTTTTCAAAAGGAAAAAGGCCGCGTTTATTTATAAAAAATTCATGGATTTAGAAAAAATTCAAATGTTTTCAAAAGAAGTTCACAAATTTTCAAAAGAAAAGTTCTCAGAATTTTGAAAGAAGTTGTAAAAATGAAAAGAGTTCGTGTATTTGAAAAAAGTCCACGGATTCACAAAAAAGTCCACGAGTTTTGTAAAAAAATTCACGCATTAGATAAAAACGAAAAAAACTAAGAAATTGGAATAAATTATTCAGAAGAGGAGAGGTGGCGTGGTTGGTAAGGACAGTTTTTGCACCCTACGTTTTGTAGGAAAGTTCAAAAATTTGGATAAATTTGCATCAAAGTTAGAAAAAGTTCATCAAATTTGAAAAATGTTAGTCGACTTAAAAAGTTCATCAAATTTAGAAAGAAATCATTATTTTAAAAAAGTTAATGAATTCAAAAGATTCGAAAAAAAGTTCACAGAAACGAAAAAAATTCATAAACTCAAGAAAAGTTCACGAAATTAAAAAAGAAGAAAAACGGCCAAAAAGGCAAACAAGCTGTAATCTAGCACAACAAAATGATCGTTATTAAAAAGACAATAAAATAATAAACCATCACGAAGCGGATGTCGTCCCGGATGGTTAGGGCGCTCGTACATTACCTGTGAAGTGCTGGGTTCGAAACGTCACGGCGCATGTTTTTTGAAACGTTTTGCAGAAAAAGAGTATGATGGGCCGGCCCAGTGCGCGCTGTGGTCAACATCGCTGCTGCTTGGCCCGCGAGCCAGACAAATCCCTGCCACGTCAGCGCTTTTATGTCTCAAATGATGTTAAGGTTCGATTTAGACCGGGATTGTATAGTTCAGGGTGCAATCGACCGGGATTTCGATTTGAGGGTTCATTTCGCCAAACCTCTACGAGTTTAGGATTTAAAATGGACTTTTTCCTGCTGGGTTTGCTCTTTGGTTTAAATTCTGCTGCGCGGCAGCGGAATCCGTCGATAAAAGTTGAACCAAACAGGGCCTAAAAACCCTACCTTGGAGACCAGTAGAGCTAGCCCGGCAGTTGTCGGTGTAAAAGCCGACAGACTTCGGGGTAGGGGTCCCTCTTAATGGAGGTAAAATCCTACATCCTGCTCTTATTTATATTGATGGAGACTAGCACAAATGCCCGTGCGTTGCAACGGAGAAAAATACGAGTTCCTATGAACCATGCTTGGCCAGGTTGAGGAACTATGTCAGGTGACAATGCTCTTTGATGACAAGTAAAGGATGCATGATTTGAGGATCATGATGTGAAGCTTAATTAGGGCATGGGTTATGATCTGAAGTAAATTGATTTGACTGACAACATTTTTTTATGGAAACTTTTGACCATGTGTGTGGCAATTGTAGAGAAAAAATTATCTGTATTAAGATGTAGTGATAATTATTTATCCAAAATACACCCACAATTCATGTAAAATTTAGCTTTATCAAAATATGCAGAAATATGAATGAATGTTTTCAGCAATCATCTTGCTATTTGATTTGAGCATAGAATTTGATTTTACCTCCATTAAGCCGACTCATTTCCAGATGACGGAGCATTGTTAACAAAACGGTGGGTGAACTCAACACCCACCAAAAATCGAGTCCAGATGAATTTCCAGCTATGAGAAGGTTGCCGGTTGAGCTCAGAGTATCAATCATGGAATCCTTCCCTCGCTACGCACTCATCTTCAAGGAAAATGGGATGCTTGAAGTGCTATGAACAGTGCATGGGGTTTGTTTCAGAGGATCAGGGAACTCTGCGTGACATGGTGGCCAGAGCAAAGCTGCTGATCGGCGTCGATACGGCATGAGCTCAACAATGGTCACCCGCGCGTAAGTGTCATCCTTTGGTGGATGGGGGTATTTTGAGGGGGTACCCCCCACCCCCAACAATAGTTAGTGAAGCCGTTCGTTCGTTAGAGGCTTAAATTCAGGAAAGTGCAGTCACTTGACTCACCCATCGAGCTGCATATTTTCTCTTCTTCCCCTTGGTATCATGCGCTAGCTCTGGCACTAGCAACATGCATAACAATGATGTTTTTTTAGGAGGATGAATCCTCAAATCTACTATGAGCGGAGGCAGGGGAAGCACTCATGATGCTAGCAATGGAGAGCCCTAGCAACTGCTCAACTATGCTGGACGAAAAATATTACGAGCGATCTCGCCAGCAAACTTCAGTGTGGTCGGCACATATACCCAGCCGCAAGTTTACTTCAGAGTCTGTGCAAAATCTCTAGGGAATTAGTGTTGAGACATCAAGGTTCAAACCATCGCTTGTCGTCTACCTTGACAGCGGTGAAATCAGCTTGATTGGTAAAGTTAGTTATTACCATGATAAACATTCTTTGAGACCAGAGCTTCCAATGCAAACAAACGTTTACCCAACACACCAGCTCTGAAATTGAGCAGCGCCATAAACCTTTACTAAAATTGTTCCTCCCTGGTTGTCTACACAGGAAAAATAAAACTGCTTCACTTACAGAAGAGATGCGCGGTGAGGTCGCTCCTTAATTATCACCTGCGGGATGAAATAGACACGATGATGATCAGTGTCTATTTCATCATCGAGGTTCATGGGCGGAGGAGGCGCGGGGTGCTGTAGCGAGATGATTCGTCAAACATGACCGACTGCATGTGCCACGGTGGAGAGCTCATGGCCGAGCCAACATGGGCAGAGGCCCAATTTTTTGGTGCTCTTGGTTGAGGTTAGCTCGCATGGGGGCTCGTGTTGATTCTCCAAGGCCGGCCACTCAGCTATAAGCGAAAGAACAAGACTAAGTGGAGTAAACTAGTGGTAAGTGAAGGTGGAGAAGAAAGAAGTGAAGTTACATATGAGTAACAAAACAGAGGCTGACATATACCAGTGGCGTGCAAAGAAGGCAGACACCAGCACTATGACAGTACCGGTAGCATGCAGACAAGGCACACATCTGACATCACCACTAACTTGTGTCTAGCCTGGACATTTGGTCCCACACACACTTGTGACGTCTAAAAATGCAGCCGCGCCACCGGTAACCTATTACCGATGGCATAGGAAATATGCTCACGCCAGCACTATTTAGACAAAAATACCAATGGATGGATTGAAAGTGGCGGGCCACTAATTAAGATTGTGTGTAAATATTTTTGCACAGGTGTTCTTTTCTTCTTTTTTTTGTGTGTTTTCTCTGCCGATTTTGAAAGTTATTTTTCCTGTTTTTCTTTTTATATTTTCCTTTCTTTTTCTTTTAAGTTTCATTTTTCGCATTTTATAATACATGAACATTTATTCAAATTCATGAACAGTTTTTAAAAATAACAAAAAATTTCAAATCCGTTAACATTTTCTTAGTTCATGAATATTTTTAAGGTTCACGAACATTTTTAAAGTTTAAGAAAAAAATTTCAAATTTGCAAACAGTTTTTGAAGTCAATGATTACTTTTACAATCCTTCTAGAATTAGTGGTTTTAACATTTAGAAAAACCCATGAGAGTCTTCTAATTTAACAATATTTTTCAATCCTTCTAGAATTAGTGGTTTTTGGAGTAAACAATATAACATAGTGGTATGATTTATGTTCTATAACTATACCCAAAAGAAATTCCACCCTTTGGACGGCAAAGTGAAACCCTAGCCCATGCTTTTGGGCCGGGCCCCCATCGGCCCGGACTGCCCATTCCTAGATGTTGTAAGCACTTGTTCCATCTGTCCCATGATGTAAGACGCTTTCTGACACGGAGTAGCTCTTCAAAAAAAAGATGTTGTAAGCACCTAGTGGTATTGTTAGTCTCAAAACGAAAAAAAAAACTAGTGGGATTGTTGATTCTAAAAGAAAAATCTAGTGGTATTATTGTGGAAAGTTTAACCACGAGTGGCACTTTTGCAAAGAAGTGGATTGTGCAGTAGGAGTAGGAGCTTCCTTGCTCTGTTCCCAAGCCAAGATCAGAATTCAGAAGTTGAGAGCCCCCCAAAAAACAAAGGGACCCACGCGCAAAATGCTCGCGCTCCTGCTCTCCCCGCCGGCGGCGCCTCCGCCGTGCCTCGCGACGCTACGGCGGCG